GCACCTAGCGTATTCAGGACATGTGTCTTGTTCACAGGGGATTATCTCAGGGTCTGGGCAGAAAAGGAAAACATTTTCGATTATCTCTGGGGCATTGTTCATTGTGTTTTACTTAACTTAAATATCCATTATCATTAAAGCATCCTTGCAGCTGTACGCACTTGAATCAATTTCGGTGTCAATGCCAGAATTACTATCAAGTGAGTCCGGTATTGAATCTTGCAGATCGTCTAATATGTTACTCCATTCGTCATTTAAGGTGGTATCTATTTTGTCGGCTGGATTTCCTTGACTTGCTAAGTAGTCATCGTATTTCTCTCGGGGAAATTGCATGAAGCTGCTGATTCTCAGTTGGCTGCCTACGGCTCTCTCTTGGAGAGAAGCAAGGATGACCTCCATTCCTCGGATGTCTGTGTCCATGTACAAGTCACTCTGGTTTGCAAATGCCAGTTCCGCCGTTTTCAGCATCTGAGCAGAAGACGGATAAATCATTGGTGACAATTAATAGTTGGAAACAAACAGGTCAATGATACTGTCAAGCATTCAGGTTTTAGGTTTTCAAGGGCGAAAGATCATATAGATCATGTAGGTGCGAGACTTCGTGTAGAAGTCTCGCCAAACGCTTTCATCAGAAGCAGGTATGGTAGACGATGCTGTTATTCACTAAAATAGAAGGCAACCAGATGGATTTTTATCCTTGAACTCCAGAATAAGAAATCTTAATAATGGTATTGAATAATTAAGAACTTATCAAGTTAATCAGATGAGGTGAAACAGAAATTCCTCTACCAAGTAAGGCACAAAAATAGCTGCGGTGATTTAAAAATTTTTTTGGCGACTCTGAAATTGCAGCAAGAACACCGAAATTTCTTTCATACATACCCTAGGCAATCTTGGAGCATCCGAAAATGTTTGCCCGTTAATCTCTAGCCGTATTAGCACGCGAATGGTTTTTAAAAACTAACTAGAGTTTTATTTTTGCACTCGCTCCAGGACGCTGACGGGAGGACCTGCCCCACTCACTCGGAGTGAAAATCCTTTTCAACAGTTTTCTCATCTGCACTTCAGAATCCGCTAGTCAGATCTCAGACTTGTCCTTATATCTGGCAATTTGCAAATATAAATATTGCACCCCAGGATTCACGTAGAGAAAAAAAAAGACTTTTTCCACAATGAAGCAATTTCCTTCAGTTCCGTGTAGTTTTAGCCTTCCGTTCCGTCGCTTCTTCTAAGATGAACCCGTTTCTCACTGCTTGTGAATCGATCTCTTCATGGTAGGCCTACTTTTTTTTCCTACTTCACCATAGGAAATTTGGGCAAAATTCTGATCCACATCACCCCTTCGCATGGAGCAGCATTTTTAAGGACAGACAAAGGAGCTCTGGCCCGATACGTTTCCTCGTGCAAAAATAAAATTCAAATTGGCATAGAGTTTTCGCCCCTGTGGCATAACGGCAGGAGAAAAACTTGCTATAATTACTGGATTATTAAAGGATACATAGAAATCACTGCGGCAAATTTGTCTGTCATGTTATCTGCTATCTCATGAACTCCGAAGATTCCCAAAGTTCGGTTCGTTTTTTTGCCACATCCGGTATCAACTTGCTGAACTTGCTGAACTGCAGGCATGGGAAAAGGGAGTGGTTTCATTTACAAGGCCTAATTCCATTTCACCCTCCCCAAATTCTAATCTGTATTGTGTCATTATTGAATACTAGTGTGAAAGCCAGTTCACGCACGGGCTGAATTGAGTCGAATCGGTCTGAACATTTCGTGCATGCCCTTCTTCTTTCACTTCTGCTCTTTCTTCGTCAGTTTCACCGTTCCTGAGAGCAGCACTTAGTGCACGACGTCCATGCACGCACATCCACTGACCGTGACTCCAGAACTTCTCTCTTTCTATTACGTTCAGCAGATCCCGCCTCAGGATAGTTTACACTTTCCAACTTTTTTCGTTACATTTTGAGAACACCAAAACTTAAATTAATAATATGGAGCGCTAACTCAATGCTGCAAACTTACGTGAAGCACTGTCATACACCAGCGACGGGACTGGCAACGCAACAACCTATGACACTGAACTTTGCAAGCAGTTACCAGCAGGTAGCAACAGCTTCTGTTACCGACAATGCCTCGTACTCTCGCTGTTGCGAGTACTTCGCTCGAGAAGGCATTCAGTACAATGCTATTCTTATCGCCGAAAATAGGCGAAAATAGGCCGAAAATTGAAAATTATGTCAAAAAGGTAGGAATTTTTTAACATTTGACCTAATAAGTTATCGCCACCAGGTCATAAGATTTAGAATGACACCTATAGTAATAAAACGAGACACACCACGAGATTAAATCTTTTACATCACAATCGCGATCCTTTTTTCTATGGAGATCCTCCACCATTTTGCCTTCATTTGCTCTAATTTCATAGCATTGTTAAATTTGAACTACTAGCACTGCAGAATAAGAATTTTTGTAATGAATCCAGCTCTGAAGGTGAATTAGTAAGCACTATAGCACCTGTTCCCTTTTTACACTCTGTTCCCTATCGGAAAAAATCGTCTTCTCATTTTCTTTTCTGAAGAGGAATCTCTCAGGAATGAAATTGGACATATTCCATGCCTATCAGCTATCATGCTGATCAGCCTAGCGTCTAGCCCTCATGGCCACGGTTGCTGGTTTTCATATTTCGAGGACGTTGGAGGTTCTGCTTTTAAGTCGGTTCCTGACTCTCATTCACGCGTCATGATGAACATATTTTCGATATGCTATTTCAATAAGGTGCGATGGAAGCAGTCACAGCTGTCGAGTGTGAGAAAATTAAAATCCTCTTACTCACTACGGTAGACGGATCCATCACTGTAAATGAGTGACATCCCACGTGTCCGTGTGGATGATTAGCCTAACGCTACATGTCTTCATCCGTGTGGTTATAGAAATGCGATATATTCTTATAATAGGTGTAGTTGGTGCACGAGTGACAGGGCTGAAAATACCTATACGTTGCATCGAATGTGAAAGGACGGTGCACGTGGCATGTGCCCTCGTGACCTCCTCTCCAACCGTACGAGTATTCTTCCGCAGACACAGTTACCATGCAGACCTTCTATCTCTGTCTACCTGTTCCTGGCTTTTCCTTTCTCACGCACAGCCTGTGTTCGTTTTCCATCTTCCACACTCCTTTATGTGAAATCGAAAGATACTGCTCCTCCTTCAGCCGCTGTCGTTCCACTCCGTGATCAAATGACTGACCGCTACATTAAGGTCCAGTCCGTTGTCTACCGGCTCCGCAATAGGTAAACTTCTAACCTTCCTTTTCGCGTCACCCTCTCAGACGAACCGTACTTAGTCCCAAACTTAACATTTAATTATCATTTTCCAGCGTCCGTGATTCTCCCATTCGAGTTGTTTTCTGCATAATATGTTTTATTACTCTCGATGAACCGTGTAATCGACGCACGAAAAGCAGACATGGCTAATGGACTATTAGAGGAGAACCATGCACGACGGGGAAAACATGGAATAATGCGAATCAACACTCAGGCATTTCCTTTTCTTCCCCGAACGTGTGCCCCGATGCAGATCTCTAGTAACACGGCTACTGCACTCTGTCCCAAAAAATGTTGGACCCTTTTACAATTTGTAGCTTCTCGTTATTGGTTCAGACTATCACTATGCGCTTTTGAAGGCTGACTAAGACACCAAATAAACACATGCTTCCAAAGTTGTATTAAAATCCATCTATTCATTTCGGAGAGGCAGCAGCTTATTCTAAGCCAGGTTGCGTCAGACCATTTCCGCCGGCCGCACTCAGCGCAGGCACAACCAGCCAGAGTGGTAACACACCGTTCCCACGTCGCAGGAGAATGCGAACCGTGCAGCGTTATGGTTTCGGTCAATGTCACGTGACTGTTCCCTGACTGACAGTGCATTTCGAGCACATCATCCTAGTGTCAAACTGAAAATAATTGATTGAAGGTTATCTTTGTCGTGCACATCATGAGGTCTTCCTGTTTGAAGCACAATAATGAATTTGGAATAATGCGCCCATATGTTTCTGGCCGCACTCCCTTACTGCTGGTACGCTCTGAATAATCTGTATTTCAAGAACTAGCGAATGAATGTTGCTATAACTTCGCATGCATGAGCTCATTTGATGTCTTAGTCAGTCCTCAAAAGCGCACAGCGAGAGTCTGAACCAATTACGAATGGCTAAAAATTGAAAAAGGGTCCACATTTTTGGGGGACAGTGTATATTCACGCATTCACCCTAGGCCTTCCAGTTCGATGGCGTGAGACGGCTTAACGATCGCCTCGATCATGTTCATTCATGCTCAGAGGTAGGAGTTGCACCAACTCTAACCTAGCAACTAACCGATATTTTTCGATTCGTCCTTGATCTGCAGGGAAGCCTCTCGAGTAAGGGAAGCAAAAGCCTCGATTGGACTCGGCAACTCGCACCTCGCCAAGCCAGGCAGGCCTACTCTGGACGAGATGGATCTGGAAATTCGTGACGTGTGAGTTCTCGAGGCACGATCCACCTCATTGAATCGGCAACAATTCTTCCGATTCCGCGAGAGATCTTACCGAACGGTACCGCACCCTTATAATATAACGCACTTGCGATCGACGCGGTCACAGCAAAGGATATTGCAACGATTCCCAATGTTCCAGAGAGTGCAGATTTAGAAAACAAGAGTCAATCGGTGAAGCGGAAAAATCTGGTCACTCATTCCTGCTTCCTTTTCCGAATTCTGCTAATTCGTGGAAAGCATTCCGAACCTAATATTGATTGATATAGTGAAGCTAACCTTTCTATAATTGATCATGACTTCGAAAATTGCACCTCAATTTCGATATGCTACATCTCTCAGTCATTGTAAGGGAAGGCGCTGGAAATTCTCGGTTAGTCTTGGTCTCTGTAATTTTTGGGTTTTAGTTGACGAGCATCCAAATGCCTACAATATCTTTATTTTCCAAACAGAACTTCAGAATCTTGATGGGCTTCATCCCTCTAGATATCTCCAGAAGTGAATTTGGAACCAGGTGGACGTACCACCGGGTGGAAATCCACCTGGGCACTCCCCCCCCCCCAGGTAGATTTCCACCCGGTGGAACGTCCATTTGGTTCCAAATCCACAGGGAGGGAGGGGGATGTTCTTGTCCACCCCCTGGTGGACGTTTAGTAATGGCGCCTACAAAGGGTGTCAATGAACTTACCACGCTCTTCATGAATGCTGTCATGTCTTGGATCTCAATTCCTTGATCTTCACAATCGGGATCGAATTCGTTAAATTGGTTTTCCTCGAAGTTCCCTGTCAGCGTGAAATTGGAGGAATGAGCCACTATTTCTGCAAAATTACAAGCAAGACCATGTATATGCATCCAAATATCAAAAGGCGATTTGAAATCAAATGAAACTTAAAGGAGTCACTATAGACTGCAAGCATGAGGGGAAAAATAAGGTGACCGACCTTCACATGGTGCCTTAAGTTCAGTTCTGGCAAAACCAGGTGGGCAGACGCATTTGAAGGAGCCGCACTTGCTTACACAAATCTCCTTCAAAGCTGGCGCGCACCCGGTGGCATGGGGATTGTCGTTTGGTGTACAAGGACCTCCTTGCTCAGTGGTTGTGGCGGTGGTGGTATTGGTCTCTGTAAATTGGGAAAACTTCGGTTTCGGCTTCAGTTATCCAAAAGCACAGGGTTACAACATACAATTCAATTTGTAGTCATAGTTTCAAAAATTGTACGTTGCAGAATTTCAAGATTTGTAGTATCGCAGTTATTCAAGACTCAAGGATCCACACTATTATCAGAAACAAAGCAGATTGTTATCTGTTATAGTTCCAAAGTATTAAAAAAAATTTATTTTTGACTTTTGCCGCGCTCTATATATGGAAACGGGAGCCTGCATGAAAAAATGTGATTTCTGTATCGTAACTATGCTGTGTACTGCATGTTCCTTGTCTTCCTCCATCCGTCTGAGCTGATGTACGATGCTATTCGTTGATGTTTCTGAGACTAAGACTCCACCATATTTATTGCCGTTTCGATTCAAGGATTTTAATAAAATTATTTTTCTTTGCCTTTGTAGATACCATTCTCCATCCACATGATCAGGTGCCTAAAATAAGCAGAGGTCAAATGAGACCTGTTGACTTTATACATATGACAGTGGTGAAATAACACATGAGCGTTTTCGAGGACGTTAGTTTTCAAAGAGGTCTTACGACGTCCAATGTACATGAATGATTAGCTTTTGAGTTCTCAGTTAAGGCGCCGTTTGATCACGAAAACCATGCCGTTTTTGAAGGAACATTCTTTGAATGTTAGAGACGTTTTCCCTAAGCATTTTTGTGGTAACCATTTGACAATGCCTTGAACCATAGGTTCGCACGACCGAAACCAGATGACAACAAAGACGAATTCTTCAAGAAATCAGTCTGAAGAGGTAAACCAGTCCAAGGAGTTTCCGTTAAACTCTGGCTCGAAAGGTGATTCAATTTCCATGGTACCACAATGGGAATGGGAATGAAATGCAGAAGATGGGAGTCCATGTAATCGCTCCTATGGAAAAGGGAGATTAGAGCAGGAATTGTCTGATTCTTGAACATGAGATAGCTGCATATCCCTTACGAATATGCCATATAGGATTCCTATATATTCCTTTAGGAATATATAGGAATCCAATAGGAACATATAGGAATCCTATAGGCTCCCTATAGGGCCTATAGGGAACTCTACAGGCGCCATTGGGTTCCGTTTGTAATCTATATGGTTCCCTATAGAACCTATAGGGAACCATATAGATCCTATAGGGTTCCATATAGGACCTGTAGGGTTCCCTTTAGGACCTGTAGAATTTCCTATAGGACCTATAGATCTCCCTTTAGAACCTATAGGACCTATAGGGTTCCGTTTGAAGTTCTCCTCTAGGCCACTAGATGGAGGTAAGGGTTCTCAAATTTCTCACAATACACAAAAGTGCCCTCCCCTTAATCCATGGAATCATCTCTCACAGGGGTGCTTTGTACCTCCCCATATGTCTCGCCTTGGCTCATTGTAGCAATCAAGAAACTTCTGGACTTTCTCATTTGTAATCCCCATCTTCTAGGTAGAATCAAGGAGTCCAGACCAGAAATATGCTCTTACTCCTTATGAGAACCACATACGAAAGAAATTGGACTTCATCAGAAAAGAGTTTCAGTAAACAGACGATGTTCCTTGGTTCTGTCTGCCATTTCCTTAGGCCAAAAGAAGAATTATACTTCTCGCTACACAAGGAAGTGGACGTCCTATCCTGTGCATAACAGTGACATATGCGGGCCAGGATAATAAATTATACAGGCGCAGGCAGTATTACTATTGCAGATTCAAGTGCCCCTACCATGGGAATCCCCCTAGTTGGTAATTAGTTTGCACCAAAATGCTGCACCAGTATGGACCCAGTTGCCATTTCCATTGTAATGCTAGGGTTTCGAAACCCAAAAAATTCTTCAACGAATCCTATAGGTCAGGAGTCCTATACGACCCTATAGGGATCATATAGGTTCATCGTGTTTCAAAAATCTATAGGAAAGTCTATAGGTTTCATATAGGAACTTCCGTAAGAGATGTGATGGAATTTTCCGCAATATGACTGTATTGCCATACGCTTCTCTGCCAGACTGATCACAGAAATGGAAGAGAGTACTTCCAACCTAACTGATAGGCTACATGATAGCCTCTGACTCTTCTCAACGCTTTATTCGGATGATGGCAAACGAGATAACGAATAAGGTGGGACAGCGATTAATTGTTATTATTTCTTATAATTATAATTGGTTGCGGAGTAAGAAAAACGAAAAATCGTGACCGACCGTGACCGTGACCACACTACCCTATGGAAGTGGGGAANCGTGACCACACTACCCTATGGAAGTGGGGAAAAGTTGATTGTGAGAATGAGTTCCCAAAAAGTTCAGGTAAAATCGTTCCGAAAATTATCAATCTACTTTCATTACTTCCTGGTTCATGAGCAAAAATTCATTTCATGTTTGAACCACCCTCATGCAAAAACATAACAAAAGCAATGAACATTTAAATGTAAAAAATTCAAAATTAACTTGGAAAATCACTTACCTGTCGATAAAGAGACAGTCCAGGATTCACTAGAATTAGGTGTTGTAGGCGTGGAAGTGACTGGTGAGGGACTAGACGAAGCTTCCGTTGTCTCTGTCGAGGATTTGGTTGTTTCAGTTGATGTGAGGGTGACGGGACTAGGCGAGGTTTGCATCGTCACGGTCGAGGCTTCCGTAGATACAGTTGACGTGAGGGGGATGGGACCAGGCGAGGTTTGCATCGTCACGGTCGAGGCTTCCGTAGGTGCAGTTGACGTGAGGGGGATGGGACTAGGCGAGGTTTGCATCGTCACGGTCGAGGCTTCCGTAGATACAGTTGACGTGAGGGGGATGGGACTAGGCGAGGTTTGCATCAGAGGCTTCCGTAGGTGCAGTTGACGTGAGGGTAATGGAATTAGGCGAGGTTTGAATCGTCACGGTCGAGGCTTCCGTAGATTCAGTTGACGTGAGGGGGATGGGACTGGGCGAGGTTTTCATCGTCACGGTCGAGGCTTCCGTAGGTGCAGTTGACGTGAGGGTAATGGAATTAGGCGAGGTTTGCATCGTCACGGTCGAGGCTTCCGTAGATTCAGTTGACGTGAGGGGGATGGGACTGGGCGAGGTTTGCATCGTCACGGTTGAGGCTTCGTTAGTCTGAGCTGACTTGTAGGATTCTCTCTTTCGAGCTGGAGTCAAATGGGCGGCACCTGAGATGTATGCCGTACTGACGTTCGCTGATTGGCTTGAGTGGATAGGACTATTTATATTTGTATTTGTGGATATACTTGAGAGCTGGATTCTTTTCATGTTTTTTGTTTCACCGCCGCTCCCATTTTTTAATATATTGTGTGGAGTTTTGGATTGCGTCAATATAGATGACAATAGGGGTGAATTTGAATGTTGATCATCAATGTGCTCTTTCACCTTGGCATATCTCTCTTCAGATAATGCGGTTTGTAGGGTTTTGACAGTTTTTAATGGAACATGGGAAAGCTCCAATGGATTTGAATGAACATCACCATCGTTGTCTGTGGAACAATATTTTCATTAATGTATTTATTTTGAAGCAATTCCTCGCGTATGCTTTTTTTCTTCAGGCTAACCAATTATTAATGGTTAGAATTTATCGCTGGGCTATGTATGAATAAGATGAATTCAACTGAACCGTATGTTTAAGATGATCGTGCCTTCATTAATTTCTTTTATATGTCGCTTTGCTATAAAATAACTTGCCTCCCTAAAATTAGGGACCATGAGTTTCGAGCCCAATCTTGAGGTACTTCTTCACATGGACATTTTAAAAACCTTGTGTTTTCTTGAGTGCACCTCTCCATTTTAATCTTTCGTGATGTGGGGAAGAAAACATTATGGAAAGAGATGTCTTGAAAAATTCACCCAAGAAGATGTGGCACAAAAATATTATATATTTAAAAATGAGGACCCAAATTTCGGACGAAATCGGGAAACATTCTGAAATATAGGCGGAATCGACGCTGGAAAGCACGACTTTCTGGTGTGGCTACATAATAAAAAATGCTTCTACCCACAAAGCACCATGTACACCTGCATTTTCAGTGGAAGAGTCTTTTGGAACACATATGCTCATTATTTAGCACCCCTGCACTTCTGGCCCTACCCAACTCTCAAGGAATGTCTGTGGGGGAATAGATGGGATTGTAAAAAAAAATTCAAGTACTTGAAAAGCTGTTTGGGAAGGTGGGGAAAGCAGGAAAACCCAAATTTCAACCAAACCATTCCCGATATCTATTGGGTATTTACTATATCACAACCCCTCATCACAGGTGCAAGTTCTCAGGCATGGAGGCGCTCCATAAAGTAGTTTGTTAACACCTCTAAGGTGTTTATATAGCAAAATAGGAAAGCAGCTATTCTTCTGATTTTGCTTCGAGTTTTTGATAAGCGAAACAAAGTAACATGGGAACATTGGTGGCATCCGAATTTTTTTAAACTAAAGGGGAAAATGGATATTGAATATTACATGAAGTAAATATATTTTGCATAGCTCAATTGCTTTTTTGGCAGTTTCAGACATTCTCTTGGGGCAAAACAGGGTCATGCTGAGGGGACAAAATGAGGTGGTATAGCTGCTCTATACAGGGTGTCCATAAATGATCTGACCCATTTTAAAAATTAACTTCTTCGAAAATATTATACATGGAACACTCCGGTTTTATTTAACTTGACGAACAACTGAAAGTCTTTTTCTTCCTTTTTTTGCAGGTCGTTGTAGGAGTTATTAAAGAAAATCTACTAAAGAAAAAAGCGAGCAAAAAAATGGCCACCCCCCAGGAAAAGGCGCAGCGTGTGCTTTGCTTTGCTGAATCCAAATCAATCGTGTCACTGCAAAGAAATTACCGACACATTAATGAAAAAGACGTACCAACCAAGTATAGCATACATGTTTGGTTTGAAAAATTCCTTGCAACTAGTAATGTGTTCCAACAAAAGTGAGCTGGACGTCCAAGTGTACCTGATACAACCATTGATCGTGTGCAAGAGGCATTCCTTAGAAGCCCAAAGAACTCCGTTCGTCGTACTTACCATGAACTTGTCAAAAAGCACAGTGCTCAAAATTTTACATAAACGAATTCATTTGCATGCCTACCCTGTATATCTCATTCCCCCTGCTAGAATATCCATTATATCAACTGTGAGACTCAGGTTAAATCGATGTGTTGATGTTTAGATTCTTTTGGTACCGCAAAACCTGGTGACGGATGGATGACCTACTCTGTTTTCCGGATTTGGGCTCATGACGGCTTCGCAGGCATCAATGACGACACGAATGAAGACGTGTTTGTTTGTGACTTTTGTAAATGTGCATCTATGATAAGGATATCAAATTGAACAGAGCAAATATTTTGCCGTAGAAGTTTCATTGTTGTTTGATTTGTTTGATTGAACGAGTTTCCTTTCGTTTCTATTTAAATTCTAATTAATTTGCCTAAAGAATCATCAATACCAAAGGATTAGTGTATTCACAATTGAGCAAAAATTATGGGGGGGAAACGATATGGAGAGTTGCCTTGGTGGGCAAAATCTGGGCTCTAGGTCAAAAGCCTGGATGCAGTTTTACAGTTTATTCCCCCGTGACAAGGTCACAGGAGAGAGCTGAGTCCGAGAGTGAGTTGTAAAAGGAAATTTAGCTGTTCAATTAGAAAGAAAGGGGATAGGATGAACTAAGGAAAATTCAGCATCCAAGCATTCCAAAGGTGTATTGCATGGTAACTTAGATTATGTATTGATAGATGTTGAAATTTCTGATACCAAAAGTGATGAAGATGAAGATGATTTTTTGCCCTATTGTAGTGTGAATACATTTTTATGCAATGAAAGATGTCACTGGTTCCATTAGGTAAATCACTCATAATAGCAATTGAAATTCTTAGGTAAACGGTATAGCCCTTTTCAGGACGTTCTCATTTCAGAATTCAAAGTTTACATGGCATGCATCAATAGCCAAAAAAAAAAATAGATAGCATAAGTGTATTGTTCAGATGTGTGCATTTTGTAGGCAACATTGTTTCCATATGATGCAGGAGTCGAAAGATATTTGATTCAGGGAGAAAGAGGAAATGACTATCAGTTTAACTTCTCTCCCAGAAAAAGTACAGCGTAGAAAGTTTGTCTGATGGACTTGAAGCAGTTCCATTTCATTTATATGGAAACAATTTTACTTATTGAGACTGAGTGCATATGAAGATGTCTAGCTTGGGCTTCATTGTAGTTCAAAGTGACCAACTATTTGTGAAGTTTTGAAGAAACAGTGACTTTCATGGAGGGTGCAGCACGATGGAGCAGCTCTTTGCTCTGGATTCTTGGAAACATTAAAAGGGGATTTGAAAAAGTTTCAGATACACCTCGTGGATCTTCAAAGGTCTACAAGCATGAGCTTCTATGGAAGCTGTAGGGACTATTGGATTAAGAGCGATGTACTATGGACCATTCAGTACTGATACAGTGATTGCAGTTCTGTTCTAGTAGGGGTCTAGTATAGGGGTAAGTATAGGTTTTGTCAGTACGTGCTGGGTTATACTAAGGTTGCATTGTCTCTTCTTTCCTGTTCCTTGCATACATGGGCAAGATCTGTATGTGTAGCCAGGGCTGCAAGGAAGTCATCATCAGTGGTGCATCACCAATAAAGTTACTTCTCTTGGCTGGTGATGTAGTTTTATTGACCCACTCTATTCAAGAGATATACAGCATTATGAATCAATTCAACTCATAGTCCTCCATAGTGCACCCTAAATGTCTTGTGAAGGAGTCCCTTGAAACAGTTGGAGTGGACAATATTGATCCCTGCCTCTCAAGCCATGGGTGACATGCAAAAGATATAGACAATCGCATCTCCAGGACTTCCACAGTTTTGCAAAAACTCTGGCGGACATTGATTCCCAAGTGGGATGTCTCTATAATGGCAATGTTTACATGTTTTTCTTCCAACCCTTACCTATGGCCATGAACTTAGAGGGAGTGATCAATGGAATCAGATCACAGGCAGAAGCTGCCAAAGTGTGGTTCTTATATTGACTGGCTGGTGTAAGACTTTTTCATATGATACCAATTGCCACCATATGTGAGGGTCTTCATGATTAGCAGCTACTTCTCCAGATCAAGAGATCTCCATTCCAATGGTTTGGGCAAGTTTGTCACATGCCCCTGAGAGACATCCAAAAAGAGTTTCTCAGTCCATCATGACTGGTGAAGGATCAATTGGTAGGCAATGTGTAAGGCAGAAATACTGTATTGTGCAGCTTTGTCACAAGATACTCAACATCCCACCCACTTAGCTTGAGTCCATTGCTCAGGGTTGGGAACATTCCAAAGTTGGATGAACAGTCATGAAAACGAACGCCTCAAACTCTCATGTATCGGATATAACTTATGCAAGGTTCAGGCTTATAGCCTCATTTGTTGGGCTTCAATGAATAATCTCTTTTTACCCTTCCAAAGTGAATAGTTTTGCTAGTACATATACAGTACGTCAGTCATTTCAGTAGTCAGTAAATGAGACCTCCATAAGACACCTTACAGTAAGGAAAATCCAGGTGTGCCTTATATTTTCTGACTCAAAAAATTCGCCCTCTCGGAATGATACAAAGTAATGTTACCTTCACTCAATCAAATTCTGCCCATTCCATATCCTCCCTTATCCCTCCATATCCCATATCCTCCATTCTTTGGATATTAAATTATACTTAACCTTAATTGGAACTAGATCATTTCTGGATATCCCTTTAAAAAAATATCACTGCCAACATAAATCCAGTTTGTGCATCCATTCTCAAAGCAAGTCCAGAAGTTTTCAATGCGGGTTGTTCTTTTGATTATTAACTTCTTTAAGCGCCTCAAGCAGGAGAATACCAAAAGTTACAATGGTCCAGGAAGATGAGTGAAGTTGTCCATTTATTAAAATCTATCCAATAATTTTGTTCTTTGCCTGTGTGTTGTGAACAAAAGTACCTCCTTGTAGTACCTTATTACTACTTTCGGTACTAGATCAGTGCTTCAGACTCCGATAAGATGCATCATCAAGTGTGAGATGAGTCTGGCAATATGTAACTTATAGAAATCGGTCGGGTAGACTTTTCTCTCGGTCAGATATTTTGGCCATTTATAAGTACTTCTAGGTCCTTTGAGTACTTCTTACATTACACTCATCCAGTCCGCCACCCTTGGCGCCTTTACGCACTCTGGTAGAGAAACGAGACGAGTACAGTGGCACTTCAGAATCGGTCTTGAAGTTTTCGCTCTAGGCCTGCAAGTATAATTCCCAAAGAATGGTCTTCAACCTTGTACTTCCTGATCTAAGAAAGTACTTGCCCGTTAAAGGTGAAACTTGGTGAACTCGAAGTCCTTGATAGAGGCATAAAGTCCACGCATGTTGCGTGGACAGGTGATGTGAGCGGGAAGTTTGTATGGGACATGTGGGCGAGGCCTGTCTTTGACCCCAAAAACATAGCGTCAAAAGGCCCCGCGCTATGACTATCCATTCTAGTTATACATAGTATATAGATGTCTATGGTAGCAATACACTGGACCCGATTGGGGTGAAATATGGCATCAGGGACGTGGCTAGTGACCTGTGATGATTGTTGCTCTGTGCGAGTTTAAATCCAAGTGCCTTTCTCCCCCTCAGCATTAGCGTTTGTTGAAACTTGCGTTCTGACCCTTTCTACGAATGAAACCGTGGCAAAGTATCAACGTAATCGAGTCGCAGAAACCCATTCACCTAGATCCATTAAAGGCTTACCCATTTTTTTTATCATTTAATTTCACAAGAAGAGACTCTTTTGTGCCTTTTTAAGACATTCATTCTGATTTACCTTTTTGAGAAATCAAGGAATCTTGCTGAATGTTGTCTGGAGAGACAGGAGTTCTTCATTTTGTGAAGCAATGAGAGACATCGCCTGAAATTCTATATTAAGGTGAGAATATTACTTTTTTATTTTTTAGGCATTTCATGTACGTGTTGTATTTATAAGGTTCCAAAATCGCATAATAGAGAGTTTTGGCTATCCGTTTTTCAGGAGGACGGGCACGCGGACTTACTACTAGGCGTTCAAGGTCTAGATTTTCGAATGGCAGTTTGGCTTAGCATTCCAGATCTGGAACAGAGAGTAACATCCACGGATCTCGCCGCAGATGGTGTGCAAACAATACCTAATTTAAGTGTATGGTAGTACGGTTGTACCTTAGCTGTGTATCACTCACTGATACACAACTAAGGTATAACCTGGTAAACTACAAATCCCCAGATATCCAAATATTATGCATTTCCCCCTTGTTTTGATCTACACTATGTCCCCCAAAAATGTGGACCCTTTTTCAATTTTTAACTATTCGTAATTGGATCAGACTATCGCTGTGCGCTTTTGAGGACTGACTAAGACATCAAATGAGCACATGCATCCAAAGTTATAACGATATTCATTCGCTAGTTCCTGAAAGACAGGAGATTATTCCGAGTGTACCAGTAGTATGGGAGAACGGCCAGAACTGTATGGGCTCATTATTCCAAATTCATTATTGTGCCTCATTCATTATGACTGACATAATGTGCACGACCAAGATAACTTCAATAACTTTCTCTATTTGACACTCGGATGATGTGCTCGAAATGCACTGTTAGTGAACAGTCACGTGACATTGATCGAAACCATAACGCTGCATGGTTCACATTCTCCTGCGACTTGGGAACTATGTTTTTCCACTCTGGTTGACTGTACCCGCGCTGAGTGTGACCGGCGGAAATGGTCTGACGCAACCTGGCTTAGAATAAGCTGCTGCCTCTCCGAAATGAATAGATGGATTTTAATACAACTTTGCAAGCATGTGCTTATTTGATGTCTTTGTCAGCCCTCAAAAGCGCATAGTGATAGTCTGAACCAATAACGAGAAGCTACAAATTGAAAAAGGGTCCAAAAATTTTTTGGACAGAGTGTACTGCAATTAAATTTTCTTTTCTTAAAGAAGTTTTACTTTAGGAATGAATGCCTCAGTTTCCCTATTGGATTAATGTTCTTGATTCCTTTTGTCCGTTCGTCATATTCGCATGTAGACATTGCAACCTTGGCTACAACCAGAGTTCCTCTGTCCTATTTTCCCATAATTCACCATCCCCAAAAACATATTATGCTTCCTTTCTGTCCGTCTCTCATGGCAAAGTAACCGAAGTTAATGTCTGGATTGCAACCTACTTGTCTGATGGGGAAGAGAACATGACAGTTCCTGTCCTAGGGGATATTTGGATAAAAAATCCAAATTGTGGATGTGAGACAATTGCCCATAAACCCATCTCGAGCAAAACGTACATTTCCACTAGTCAGGAAACCCTTGCTGCAGACAAGAGACAATTGTCTAGAAATCCAACCCGGGCATTCTGTGTGTTGAATTTCAACTACTTCGCCATCAATAGTGGCTTTCCTTCCTGGATGACTGACTTGAACGAATCACGCGTTGTACGGAAGCTCACGCGCCTTTCAAGTCGTTCCTGATAGGTGGATCTTGCGTCGCGATCACGTTCCTGAGAGAACGCCTGAAAGAGTCCCTCCACGTCTTAGACGTCTTCCTCACGCGTTTTTTTAAACTGCTGGTGACGTCACCAGAGACATCAGCCGTCCTACATCCCTTGCCGTTCTCTCAAGAACGGGTAACCAAAACTATTTAATAACGGAAGGTACAGCCCCTGGAGTTCTTACGGGAATTTTGAGTTTCTGGAGTTGTACATGAGCGGGGATCATATGCCCTTCATTGCCTTTTTAGCGATCAATCTAACATTGCCATTTCAATTGTTTCAACATGTGGATTTCTAACGGAATTTCATTACCCAACCAAATCAACTCTGTTGCACCAACACGTGCTGAGTGGGTGAGGAATTTTCATTAGGGACCAGTCGGTAGACTTCTTGTACGATGGACTGATAACAACTCGGGCATCTCCTACGAGAGGTTCGGTATACCACTCGTCAAGTTTGAGTTCGTTGCCCAGGATCATGAACACTAGAGTATGCTCTCGAGCCTGTTCAAGGCGCGACTGCATTACGTTGTGATTAGCAGTTTCGAAAATGCATGAATACGATGCAATAAATTTAAAAATGCGGAAACAATAATTTGAAATTGTATTTGTGAAGGATACAGTTTCTAACTCAGCACTATCTCATAATGCAACTTCATTCTCAGGAAAAAATACTCTATACCCATATGCAGCATTATATTTAGACATCGATTCGCGATTATGCCCCACTTAGTGCTGATAATGTCGGATAATTCTCATCAGTCGCAATGGAGGGGCTGCGCGGCTTGCATATCGCGTGCAATGGTATCGTCTCCTGTTAAACTGATATTTTACTTAATACAGATGAGTCAGTGCAAACAGTTCAAATCCGGCAATCAAATCCTACAGCAACTTGCTACAACGGTAGATTTACAGTATTTCTATCTACAGTACTAGTGTTGCTGGTACTAGTACTGGCATACTGCACAAGCAAAGAGTCTGAACCATGGATAGGTATGAGGCATAGAATTGGTCCCCCTGAAGGGGACCAATTATAGTACGTTTCAGGGGAAGATCCATCCCTGCATGCCTATGGCATACACATAAATTCAACCCTAATTTCCTCATTCCGGCTTCAGGACGAAGAAATGATGGATTGAATACGTGGACACCATCATTGTTCTACAGCAACTTTTGGATAACGTTTCACTGTATAAATAAACGGTTCTCATCGGGGATAGGAGCTTGTTTATGGCCTGGACTCCATGCATCTGTCTCGAATATGGGGTTAAAAAATGATGAAATGTCCGCATATTTTGATTATTACAATGAGACTAGGCAAGACATATGGTGAGGTACTAAACACTCCTGTAAGGGATGATTCCAAGGAAAGAGGGATGGGTACTTTTGTGTACTGTGCGAAAAGCGAGACCCACACCTCCATATAGTGGCATGAAGGAGAACTTCAATATTTCCCAAAAACTTCAAAGTGCATTTTCGGCGCATTGGATCATCACGGTCATTTTTGCAGTAGGCATCACTTATGTTAAAAATGATACGTACGGTACTCATCAGGGCTTCAAAGCATTTGGAAAAGTTTTCACTAACCTTGATTTGGATTGCACTTGCGCGCGAAACATCCATGTCCGCAAATAGTGTACTTAGTGTGCAAGACCTTTCTGAGCAACAAATAGTCTAACCACTGAAGAGTCACAGAAACGCCGATTTATCGCCACATTGCTGACCCGGGATCTGATACAATTGTCATTATTGAGTTGTGTATCCCTGATGATCTAATCATCAGGTCCTGATGCTACCGTATTCTTCAAAGCATCCGCAAATGTTTCCTCTCGTCTTCAGTCGTATGTTGTATATATGCATGAAACATCCATCCAAGTGTGGGCCGAAGGTGCAAAAGTTTCCTGTGCCACACACGGTCCAACAACTGAAAGGCCGCAGAAACGCCGCAGCTGCCCAGCATGTGCCGACCAATGACCACACATGCTGCTGATTGGGTATCACCATCCGTCGATAAAAATGAGGCCCGGTTTAAAAGTCCACCTAAGTTTTCATTGCAGTTGCCTTGGACTTTTATAAATCTCGAAAGAATTGAAAATTAGAGGTTTTCTAAATTCAATAAATTTACCCCATCACATTTTTAAACTCTTAATGATTCCTCCCTGATGTTAAACGGCACTAAATTTCTACATCATATTTGACCGAATGTGTGCTTTTTCTAGCACTATGCCTCCTTCAATCAAAGGAAAATTGATTTTACTGGAGTGTGGATAGTTCGTTCTATACCATGAAACATTTTGCATTTTTAACCTCAAAAATGTATCTCAGGAGCAGGGAGAAATGAAAAATATCGATATATAGCAAAATGTGCCAAGTCTTCATACTGAAATGAAATAGGAACGCTACAGACAATTGCCGCAAAATTCCTGGAAACCATCACTACCATGCAACAAATTCAGATCAAAGTAGACTATATTGGAGACTTGTCCGGAAATGTCGCAATGAAATGCTGCATTCTTTCTCATCTCAGGCTGGCACTTACATTCCTTTTTCGCAGATTGGTAGAAATCTCGTACTTCTCCCCCTTTGCACAATCCATGACATTTCCATCTTTAGTGAAGAACCATTGGCTGACAATTTCTGAATGCAGTAGGTATGATATTTTGCGTCAATGCCGAGAATATAGTTTATTCATTATACTTTTCGCTATTTATAATATACTCCAAGTTGGTCATGATCAATTCCCGGTCTCGTCACGCAACGTGATTGTGTGGCTCTCTAGGAAATTAAGGAAAAAGTAATTATGGACTTATTTTTAAGCTGAGGTTTCTAATGACAAGCAATTCCTCTTTGACTTGCATGGTGGAAATGAGCCCTAGGTTGTCTTTGTAAGAATCCTGAGCTGATTTCTTCCTTCTAGAGCAGGGATGTCAAACTCAAATCAGTCGGACGGCCGTATTCATCACACTGCAGATGCCTGCGGGCCGAACCCACGGTTGTTTGCCCCAATTTCTGCTGACACTCAATTCAAAAGGAAATTTCAAGAACAGACGGCGGGCCGTATGTTTCACACCCTTGTTTTACAGGCTGGAAGAAACTTATCATTTAGGTTCCCGTGTCTAGCAAGAGGTCTACCATGTCCACGGTTACAATCTAAATGTTTAAATTGCCATCATCTAAATCGAACAGTAATACTATGTGAAATACTGCGACTTAGGATATCTTGTGTCACGGTCAGATTACA